CTGTGAGTTCGAGCCCCGCGTCGGGCTCTGGGCTGATGGCTCAGAGCCTGGAGCCTGTTTCCGATTCTGTGTCTCCCTCTCTCTCTGCCCCTCCCCCGTTCATGCTCTGTCTCTCTCTGTCCCAAAAATAAATAAACATTGAAAAAAAAAATATTAAAAAACTATCGGGAAAATCATTTTGCTAGAAAGGATCCAAATAAGACCCACGAAAATAACTTAGAAATAGGAAAATATAACCTATAGGTTAAAAGTTACAGGAACAGGGGTTTACTGAGCCTGGAGAAGAGAGAACTGAATTGCCTTTCAATGTTTTGGTTCAGAGCTTTGTTTTTATTTTTTGATCAGAAACTCTTAAATCGTTATAAAATGCTTAGAAATAATCAGTAATATTGATACTACATAATTTCTGAAAACAGAGATACTAAAGGAAAAACTTCTATCTTCCAACACACTTCATTTTTAATCAATCCAAATCTGTACTAAGACTGCAAATCTGTACCAAAGAATTAATAATATGGTCACCTATACACAGAATGACCACATGTGCTCGTTCTTTTTACCCCAGCATAAGTAACGGCACAACCTTTCTATCCCGTGTGTCCTGGTTTAAACAATAAAGCACATGGTCGCCCTACCTACCACATGCGTAGCATTCAAACTGCAGTAAATGGACTTGTGGGAGTGGTTTAAACATGAAAATATAGCAAACAAAATGCTAAATAGCTATACTTGGTTCCATAAAATTTGCCCCCAAAAGTAATTACTTTGGCTAAAATGCTGATTATGACATGAAACTGTGCTGTTTTACACAAGCATAGTTCTAACAAGCTATGTGTAAAAATGGGTATTTTCAGTGCACTTAATGAATATGAGTATGTGATTTATTTAAATGAATTCTCTTTATAAATGGAGTTCATAACAGAAGTCTTTTGTAAAACAAAAAATTGCCTTGTAAATCTACCTTTAGGGAAAATTAAGGTTTTCATATTGAATTTATTTAAAGGAATATGCCCTCATGTTTTAGTTTCTATTTCCCCAAAAGCAGACTCTATTCAAAGTGCTGCCATAGTTTATTTGGGAAGTAATCCTAGGAACTCCCAGTGGGAAATTATTCCTGTGGTTTAATGGGAGCTTAATCCCACTGGGGACTTAGAGGGTCTGTGTAGAAATACATCTTAGGATTATCCCATCTCAAGGCATGATACTTATACACCAATTCCTATCATTTCACTGGTTGAGAGCTAGGGAGAGGAAATGAGGTGAGTTAGTTCCCCAGCAATTCTAGGACACCAATTTCTATACTGCTTACACAGGCTCCCAGGGCCAGAAAAGCCCTCATACAAAAGACCTGCAGGTGTCAGCAGTTGAAAATTGGGCTGGTATACACCAAAATGTTAAGGACCTGGCGTAAGAGCCAAAGGATTACAGACAGAATCAAACAGCATCCGCAGAGACGAATGGCCAAACCTCTAAGAGATGAGAGTTTTTCACAAATGTTTTTTATGTTTATACACTTTGAATTTTTTTTCTGAAACTGAACACTGAAGTTCAATTTCAGAAAACAGTCTTTGAGAGGAGGCACGGGGGTTGTTGACTCAATTGCTTACAATGTGCATTTGATACACACTAAAAATTCCATCTTCTTTCTTGTATAAAATATACTGTTAAAATTATACTGTTTGTACATAGTCTACATTTGCCTATCAATAGACTTAATATCTGCCTAGCCTTGTATGTTTATATGTCTCTCTTAAGTAAAAAGCACAGCTAATGGCAAAAATTAAGACCTTATTTGTAATTTATTACCTTAAGTATGATTCTACATCTTGATTAGAACTGTCACATTAAGATACCCAGTAATAGTGAAGGTGACCTTAGTTCAAACCAATTAGTACATGTGACAATATAAGGACAAATATAAACATCCTAACAGTTCTTCCTTGCTCAGCCTCATTAAATAGCAAGGATGTTGTAGATTCAATTTGGTCTCCCAAATGCAGAGTTCATTTGCTTTATATAAGGCTTATAACAGCAAAAGTACACAGAAGAGCTTAACAGACGGTGCCAACGATAGCAGTGTCTCTTCGACAGTAAGAATTATAATGCAAGGTTCTGTCTTAAAAATATTTGTTTAAATATTTTATTTTTTAAGTAATCTCTACACCCAACGTGGGGCTTGAACTCATCACCCCAAGATCAACAGTTGCATGTTCTACCAACTGAGCCAGCCAGGCACCCCTGTCTTAAAAATATCCTTACAATATTTGTATCCACTTAAAGTTGGAAACTGACAAGTCCATATACCCTTGACTACTCCACTCCCAAAATCCCAGCAATAAAAATTTCATTTGATGAAAATTTTTGTTACTAATTTATAAATTTCCACAATG